TAGGACACACTGTGCGATTTTCTACGCTGGCCGCTTGGGATCAATAAATACGGTGCCGGCGTCGCGCGGTGTGCGCGGGTCGGGCGGGTGCGCATCTCACGGCAGCGTATTTCGCTCGCGATCCCGCGATTTTCTACGCTGGCCGCTTGCAATCGATAAATACGGTGCCGGGTCCGCGCGGTGTGCGAAGGTCGGGCGGGCGCGCGTCTCACGGCAGCGTATTTCGCTCGCGATCCCGCGATTTTCTACGCTGGCCGCTTGCGATCGATAAATACGGTGCCGGGTCCGCGCGGTGTGCGCGGGTCGGTCGGGCGCGCGTCTCACGGCAGCGTATTTCGCTCGCGATCCCATACGCCCGGCTGATCGCTCGCATTCAACGCGTTCAACCGGTTTTTCATCTCTTGCATACAAATAAAAAAAATTAAGGCTTTTCTAAGCTTTTGGTGAAATTTAGAATGGCGAAATTTAGAAAGCAGAAGAAAGCAGAATTTGACATTTATAAAGCAGAAAACTTCGGGCCCTAGCCTGTACCTCACTGGCTGCGGGGTGACGTGGCGAGCAGGGAACTGAGCGGTGGGAGAACTGATGACTCGTTTAGCCCGCTTCAGAGTTTTGTATCTGCACGCTCCTAGTTAGCGTGTGCTAAGATTGCGCGCGTTAGACGCGCGCTAAAATTCGTAGTATGTACGGGGTATAAGTGTACACTATCGCGAGTGGATTACACAGTAGTGTGGTACTCTTGACAGTAACAGTACCTGATGCATGTTGTACTCAACAATGGTTGCGGAGTAGAGCGGGTACTGAGGAATAGGAATCATAATGCCTGTCTTTTTCGCACCATCCGGCTGCTTCAACAATTTCAATATGGCCTGTGACATCATAAAGATATTATTAGTAACAAGTGTAATATATATAAAGACTAAAAGATTTTAATACCTAACCCATTAGATTCTAAACAAACTTCTAACTGTAACGAACTTCTAGTTAAACCTGTGAGCAAAGCGGCTCTGTTATGCACCTTGATGCCATCACTAGCTCCTGTGCTCAGCATTATTTGATCAGGATTGGCTGGTATGCCGCCATCTCGCTTGGCAATGTAGGCTGCAACATCTTGCCTGATTATCTCTATGCCTGGACTCTCACTGTAGGCTCCTGTGATATGCACATGTATATAAGAAGACAGTATGCATTTAGTTAGCTCTGATAAATAACTCACATTAATCACGCAATAAGTGCACTCAGTGTCTTATGTAAGTAACACATTTGCAATGCCATGTCGACATCAGCCCACCAATGTGATTTGTAATTTAAAGTTATTATTATTATATTAATATAATTATTAATCAATTTGATCATCAATCAATCAATCAATGTAATTGCATCTGTAATAATGGTTTATAGGTCTACGGTTGCTTTAACAATGCAATCTAATAAATCACATGTTGTACATGTCAACATGCATACAGATTATTGATAACCTATTCAATTTAGCTACAACACTTTTAAAACATAAATTGCAGACAGTAGCTCCGTTTCAAACGTAAACCGGGTAGATACTTGTATGTGAGCCACACCAAAAATTTTGTCAGTTTGATAATAATATGTGATGCAACACATCTAGTAGTGTATATATAGTAGTTTAGTGTGTCGACGAAAATGAGCTACAACAGGGATACACTGACTATGCTGTTGAAGTTATCAGGGTGGATCTAGTTCTGTTTGTGGCTGTGAGTCTACGTGCCAGTGGGCACGTGCACGCTTTTGTCTGCATCTACACCACATTGCACTTAAGTTCAGCCATTTTGTATAAGCAACCTTGGTCCTCGACATGTTTTTATACCTCCATCAACATTCGGATGCTAAACAAGTGCCGCAGAGCGACAGCGCTCATCTAACGTCTACTGCGGTGACTCTGTGGTGGAGTGGTGGGATTCTAGTAAACCCTGTTAGTCCCAAATGTGTTCACATACACGCTGAAACAGTGGAAGGCACAAGG